ATAATACAAGGGAAAACCCCACGAATAAGCAGTGGGCATGGTACTCAGTGATGGCGGTCCTCACTTTCTGACCAATTCGTTCTATGACCGGGTCGTAGGAATGGAACCCGGTTGGTAAGTGATGAGTGTCTGCATCCTTTTTTCTTTTACATTCTAAATTCTGCTGACAGTTATCCTTTAAACTTTAGGAGACCATAATTAAAGCAAGCCTGACTAGTGTAGAAGAGATGCTGATAACCGCTTAATACCTTGCTCTATTGTTGGATCCTACTCAGGTCTAAAACACATTTTAGCTCAGTGCCAGATGATTCATGTCCAGTTTTGTATACAATGGCACTCCGCAGCAAAAATACAGGCTAAAACAAATATATACCAAAATGGAGTTTGAAAAATGTTCAATATATGCAGTTTTCACAGTATATTTCCCCAAACCTTTTATCTACTTTTCCAAAGGCATCACAATTAATGATTTAGTAGAGAATCCATATAGATGTCTTCGCATTTTTTTCCACTTTAATTGCTATGCAAGAAGGGAATAAAGTCTGATTATTGTATAATTACATTTTGCAAACAATATATTGCATTGATTTTTAAAGGGACACTATAGTCACCAGAACAACTACAGCTTATTGAATTTGTTCTGGTGAGTAGAATCATTACCTTCAGGCTTTTTGCTGTAAACACTGTCTTTTCAGAGAACATGCAGTGTTTACATTCAGGGCCGGTGCAAAGAATTTTGGGTACATAGGCGAAGATGCATTTTTCCTCCCCCCCCCCAAAAACATATTCGCCCATGTGCCTCTTAACCTCCCTTTTGTGTTTCTTATCCCGTCTTTTAAATATCTGACTCCCTTTAGTGTATTTTATCTCCTATTTTTGCCTTTGTGTCTCCTATCTCTCCTCTTTGTGTCTTTTATTCTTCCCAGCTCCTTTGTGTGTCTCTTTCCTTCTCAAGCCCCGCTGTGTGTTTCTTTTACATCCAGCCCCTCTCCCTGTCCCTTAATGGTCCCCTCCCTTCTCTGACCCTTACTGCTCCTCTCCCTTCTCTCCTCCTTTCCCTGTTCCTCAGTGTTCCTTTCCCTTCCCCCCTCCTTTCCCTGTCCCTTAGTGTTCCTCTCCCCTCCCCCCTCTGTTCCCTGTCGCTTAGTATTCCTCTCCCCCCTCCCTCCTTTTCCTGTACCTTAGGGTATCTCTCCCCTCTTCTCCATGTCCCTTGGTGCGCCACCCATCCCCATAGTGGTCCCCTCCCCTTCCTGGTGTGCCTCCTACCTTTCTTGTAGCGTGGCTGAGCGGAGCGAATCCCGGTACAGTGAGCTTTTCCTGTCGGTCCTGCTAGGTACAGGAAACAGAAGTTCCTGTACCACGGTACACTCCGCTTGGCCACGCTACAGTCAGGGGTGTAGAAACACTGACAGTCACACACACTCAATGACAAACACACAGACATCTCTGACAGCCAGACTCACTTATCTGACACTCATTCATTGACAAACACACACAGACACAAACTCACAGACACTGACAGACACATGTACTCACATGCACACACGCACATACTGACTGACAGACACACTCACACACACACACTGACAGAACCACACACACACATATTCACATACACACACACACACACACACACATACTGACAGACACACTCACACACACACTGACAGACACACTCACACACACACATACTGACAGACACACATACACACACACACACACACAAACTGACAGACACTCACACACTGACAGACACACATATACATACACACACACTGACAGACACACATATACACACACACTGACAGACACACTCACATACACACACTCACTCACACTGACAGACACACACTCACTCACACACACACTGACAGACTCACTCACACACACACTGACAGACACACATACACACACACTGACAGACACACACACACACACTGACAGACACACTCACTCACATGCGCACACACACACTAACAGTAATTAATCATCTAAATTAAATTAAAATTTCCCACCCAGCCTCCCTACCTGGAGAGCTGGCGTGGGTCTCTCATTGGTGGTCCAGTGGGGCTGCCGGGAGGCGTGCGGCTGAACTGGATGCCGAGTTGGCGAGGGAGCTCTGATCTCTCTGATCTGCTCCTGTGCAGGCTGCTTACTGATGCCGCGGGAGCCGGAATATGACGTCATCAGTAAGCAGCCTGCGAGGGAGCAGATCAGAGAGATCAGAGCTCCCTCGCCAACTCGGCATCCAGTTCAGCCGCACAATGCGCCGGGGATCCAGGAGGTGACCTGGCAGGAGGGAGCACTTCCCTCCTGCCGGTCACTGGAATTTTGCGCCCCCTGAGCCGGTGCGCCCTAAGGCGGCCGCCTGTGCCGCCTTATGGACGCGCCGGCCCTGTTTACATTACAGCCTAGTGATAACTTCACTGGCTAGTCCTCAGATGGCTGTTAGAGATCCTTCCTGGGTCATGGCTGCCTAAAATGCATCCAAACATTCAGTGTCCCCACCCTCTGCATGCAGACACTGAACTTTCCTCATAGAGATTCATTGATTCAATTAATCTCTGAGGAGATGTTGATTGGCCAGGGCTGTGTTGGAATCATGCTGGCTCTGCCCCTGGTCTGCCTCTTTGTCAGTCTCAGCCAATCCTATGGGGAAGCACTGTGATTGGATCAGGCTACCACTTCTGATGATGTCAGCAGACAGCTTGTTTTTTTGTTGTTGAGGCAAACCGGAAGCAAAGTTACAGCTTCAGGCTTGAATACAGTAAGATTTTTCTATATTTATGGAGGCATGAGGGGCCCAGCGGGGCTAGATGGTGGTTTTAACACTATAGGGTCAGGAATACAGGTTTGTGTTCCTGACCCTATAGTGATCCTTTAATATTTTTGAATAAGCATTTTAAAAGATTTCATATTTTTGGATAGGCTTTTTAAATGATTTAACAGAATAATAAAACATAAAAAAAAATCACATATAAAACAAATGTCAATATATTAAAGGTTATCAATATATCTTTTCAAAAATATTAAATTGATTATCCACAAATATGAAATCCTTTCAAAAGCATATCCAAAAATATTAAATTGAGGCCTATCTTTGACTAGTATTTTACCAGTTGTTTTACATTGGCTTCCTGTATCCTATAGGAGTCAATTCAAGGTACTAATCCACACCTATAAAGCACTGACCAATTTTAGCCCCTCCTATATTTCTTCACTGATCCGCAGGTATGCCCCTTCTTGGTCTCTCCGCTCTGCCCGACCTTCTCCTGTCCGCTGCTCCCCCTGACCTTTGGAATAGCCTGCCTACGATCATCAAGCTTTCCCCTAGTCTTAAATTATTTAAAAACTGCCTCAAAACCCATCTCTTTAGGAAAGCATGTGGCCTTCCAGAGTAACCTCCACCTCACATACCTGTCCCTTGCTCTCTCCTAAAGGGCAGCACTCTACTGTCTCCACCAGCTCTGCTTCACTCCACCTTGTTTGATTGCTACCTCCTGTCCTGTTGGGATTTACGCCCCACCTCCTGTAGACTGTAAGCTCATTTGAGCAGGGCCCTCTTCAACCTATTGTCCATGTAAGTTTTCGTAACTGTCTCATTTATTGTTAAATCTCCCCCTTTAATAATATTGTAAAGCGCTAGGGAATATGCTGGCGCTATATAAATACCAATAATAATAATACATCTCAGAATTCAAAAAGATTGAATCTGTCACCAATGTCACTGAAAACCTTTAGTCAGCAACATCCTGCAGCTTGTCAGTCTCACATTCCTGGTGAAAAGCAGCTCACAGTGTAATTCTGTGCAGTAAAATTAGTAAATAAATGTGAGGTCCCTGTAATGGGAGACTCTCTAAATTCAACTACTAATGGTACCTCAATTAACTCTGTTCTGTGACCTTATATGAAAATAACATTAGGAATGTATATCTGCACGGTAGCTAGTCGGAATCCATTTAAGAGAATAAGGTTATACATTTTGAAATATAGCCATGTGATATTCTGTTAGAATAAGAGAGATGCTCTCCCATCTCTCCTAATTCCTCAATTTGTTTATCTGTTCCTGAAAGAAAGGGGAGTGTTCTATTTCAGTATTTCACAATGAATCCTTTCATATTCATTGATTTGTATAGGGAAATTGTTTTACAGAAAACAAAACTATGAAATCTAACAGTTGAACCACTGTTCAACCTGTTTTTTTGTAAGGTTAAGAGGCCACTCGAAAGCTGTGTATGAGAATGAGTCAGGCCTGAGTAGGTATGTACATACATTTTAGACAAAATTTCCATTAACCAAAGCAATATGTTATTTGCATCCACACCCAAAGAATTAAAGGAACACTATACAAAAATGTGTATTCCTAACACTATAGTGTCCTGCTGACAGTTTACAGTGTGTTTACATGTGTGTGTGTGTATATATATGTATGTGTGTGTGTGTGTGTGTGTGTGTGTGTGTATGTGTGTGTGTATGTGTATATATATATATATATATGTGTATGTATATATATATATATATATATATATATAAACCACTTTAGTTACCATTCTTCTCTTGATGCTTTGCTCTCCAACTCCCTGGCTATGATCGTCAAGATTAATGATCTCAGACAATCCAATGTTTACCCATAGCAAAGCATTGGGAGCCTAGTGCGGGTCAAAATGCCACACTGCGCCTTTAAAATAGTGCTCTAGGAGCAGTATTTGGTTAAAAAAGTGAATTTGACTCAGTTCTCACAGGGAAGCACCTCTAGTGGCTGTCAGGAAGACTTACATGTTCAACCCTGCAATGTAAACATTGCTGTATCTACTAAATTGTTTGGTCATTGGGACTGGACCCTACTGTTCTAATATGTCAATCTTGTTTTGTTAGAATTTCGATTGACGGCTTAAAACTAAAAGGACCACTGCACACAGACCACTACATTGAGATGAAGTGGTCTGGGTGCCTAAAGTGGTCCTTTGATAACTATTACACACATCAAGAAGTACATGGTTTTTGGTTTTCTGCATTAGACACGTGCAATTAGTTTCGTTCCGAATGTAAACCAGCTGTTCCCACCTCCTATAACCTCCGATCCAGTACCAGCACTTTATTTAGTCTACCTCAATACAAAAAGAAAGCAGCCCGATCCTCCTTCTCCTACAGAGCGCCGCAATTATGGAACGACCTCCCGCACACTTTCAAATCTTCCCCAAGCCTAAAGTCCTTTAAGATTTCCCTCTCTACATACCTCGAAACAGAATGCAAATGTCATGGTTGATTATATATTTCCTACTTGTTCTATGTTAAATTTTGTATATATTGTGTATTGATATTGATTTTGTATTTTATTGTACTAATGTAATGTTTTTTGGACCCAGGACATACTTGAAAACTAGAGAAAGCTCAATGTATATTTCTTGGTAAAATATTTAATAAATAAATCAAATTTGACCGAATTTCGGCAAATCGGATGCCTCCGAATTTCGGAAGTGCCGAACCAAACCGCCGAATGTCGAAAGTGCCGAAGTGCTTCGTATTTCAGAAAAGTGGCAAAACAGGAGAGGAAGGGAAAATTACGGGAATGATGACCGGAATATAACCCTATATGTGTAAGTGGTTGTGATGGTAAGGACTAGGGCTAGGGAATTGCCGAAGTCCTGAATTTCGGAAGAGCAGAACCGAACCATTTTTTTTGCCCATGCACTTCCCTATTCTGCATGTTCCACTTAAAAAGGTTACTCGAAGCACTATGAGCTGGATACGGAGAGATCCTAGCAGCAACCTCTCCACCCACTCTCCAGTCACCGACAGGATAGTTGAAGAGTAGGCACCTCCAGCGGAGCACTCAGGCTTGCAATTCACCAGTAGACAGGCGCCTGCTCTAGCAAGGGAAGGGTGCACCTGGATACCCACCCCCTGCTTAATACACTACCGCCAAACACCACTACTTTAATGAATGCCAGTTTTCACTATTACAATGCATACTTGCACCTGCATGTCTTGTCTTTGAAAAGCAAATTGAAAAATGGAAATGACTGGAACTTTTGCATTAGCAATATGGACAGCAAAGGGGAGGATATGGGCACACAAAGTATCCTCAGTGTGTACGAAGCCGCACAAAAATAGTGTGACAGATTCACAAAGCAATGCCAGGACCAGGCTGTGGTGGTTATGGTGCTTAGAGCACCTCTTTAAAGGATAACTGTCACCTCAATGCAATTCTTCATTATAGCAATCATTTCATCAAGTTTTGAAAGGAAATTAATTCTGTTAAATGAAGAATATGTAAAAAAAAATTTAAAAAACCTCATCCCTACCTTTAGCATATGACAGGATCATTTAGCCATATACATTCACCTTGGGTCAGACTGTGTTTGAAAACCCCTGTATAGTCTCTAATATGGTATTCCTAGCTTCACCCTCTGCACAGTGCAGTGACATCACCAAACCTACTGTCTGACCCAAGGTGTATGCACAGAGCTTGCCACAAAAAAATGTATACACACGTTTTAGAAAAACCTATATGAATATTTTAATAATAAATTCATTCAGATATCAAGAAATTAATACAAGTACATTTGACCTCTACTATTACTTGAGGTATTCAAAGGTTGCCATTAGCATCCAGACACTTATTAGTAATGAGAACTGCTGCTCAGGTAACACAGGATTTGTTGCTGTACGTGGCCTACCGAATCTTCCTTTGTGCACATCACATACGGTACCTTGTGTTTCAAATTTATCTCGAATTGGTGAAATTGTCAGGTGTGCTGGAGGTTCTGTTGCAAACTCACGTTTCCATTGTTGTTGAACTTCAACAACATTCTCAAAATTTTAAAATACCACTTTAAAACGGTCTTACATTACTTAAATGACAACCTTGTCGGCCATTTTGTTTGATTGACCCTGATTAAATATTGATGCTAGAGTTATGCGGGCCCAACATCTTTTGAAATAACAACATCATAGTACACGTTGCTATCATAATTTGATCCAACTCTGAGAAAAGTCTATATGTCCTCTTTGAAAGTGTGTATACTATCAAGCTAGCTCTGTATATGGCTGCATGATCCTGTGATATACTAAGGGCAGGGATGAGTTTTTATAATTCAATTTATTTTTTTTAGATATGCTTAAAAAAATAAAATAAACCTATTACCTTTCCAAAACTGGATTGATGGTTTATTATATTAAGAGTGTCAAGGTGACAGTTATTTAAATCGGGGAGTTGTTCTGATGTGGCTTTTTTGTTGATGAAAATCACTTTGAATTATATACAATTCACACTTTAATGGACTAATCTGTAGATTGCAAACTGCTCCAGATGAGCTGTTGTTTTTTTTTTTTTTTCCACTTCGTTACTTTTTACTTGAATTTTGCAGCTCGGTTTTAAATTCGCCGTTTAGTGAATACCCCCTCAGTGTAGCACCAGAAACAGATCTAATGTACTCTGATGGTCTCGGACAGACCGTCCCCATGTTTGGTTTTGATCATGATGCTGAATATCCCTGCACTGCCCACTCACTGCTGATATCTCCTGTCTCTGCCCCACACACAGAGCACTGCAGCAATGTGCGCTGCCTGCACCACGTGACCTCACACCGCCCACTTCCGCCCGCCCTCACTATTGGGCCCCATTCTACGTTTTCTTTCGAATGTTCGAACTGACCTATAGAACGCGCCGCGGCCACGCCCAAGTGACACGCGACCGCCCTGCTGACGTCACTGCGGGGAAGTTGTTAAAAAGGGGCCGCTGCGCGCGATCGGCTGGGCAGATCTTACCGAGACTCCTTGCTGTCGGTCGGTGAGAAGCCAGGGCTTGCCTGTTTCACGCACTCCGGTCACTCTTCATTTTTTTTCCCCTCTCTGTTTCTGCTGTCAAGTCGTACGATCAGACAATAATGGTGAGTGGATTCCCGATAGGTCGGTCTCCGGCCACATTACAGACCCTGACACGTGTCAGCCACCTACCTGCATTCCCTGTGCCATCTCTGAGCACCTATCCCACCAGTGATGGCCGAGCTCCGGCTGTGTTAATAGTGTGTGGCCTAAGATTCTTATGATGACCGCCTGGCTGGCTGAGCTTCGTGAGAAATTTGGCTTATTCCACCAGCTGGGCGAGGCGTTATCCATCACTTCACAAAACCGTTAGTACAAGTAGCCACACACCTACCGGTGTCCTCCATCTCCTGGGTAACCGCTTTCATAGCTGAGAGAGGAGATGTTGGGGAGAGCTAGCTCCTATATGTAATTATATTTGAATTAATAGATCGAGGAATTTAATTTATTTTGTTTAAACCCGTGTTAGACAAGCTCTTGGGGCGTGACCCAACCGGCCTTTATCGCTGGCATTCCTTTTAACGAGCTAAACACGTGCCTTTTAATCTTCGTCTAATACCGATTAACTCTTTAATTCCCGGGGACATGGCTTGTGACACTTTCTAGGAGATCGATGTTGATTTTTCTGCCATGGTAAGTTTTATAATGAAGCCATGTGACCGATACCTGGCATATTAAAATATGGGAATAATAATTTGTTAGGAATTAGCCAGCATTGCAGGTTTACCTTATAAGGATATTACACGGTTTCCTCTCTAGGAGCGTTCTGTAAGGTTGATACTTTGTATATTTGGAACAATGGGATTCTGAGAATTCTAAAGTCCGCTAAGAGCTCTGCGCTCCTGGCCCCGCCCTTACCAGCAATGGCTTCTGCTGTGTGTGTGGCGTACCAATAAAATGGATCCCTGCTCACTGCCTCCTCCTATTGGCTGAATGGTACCGCCCGGTCCTCAGCGCTCTGTGGAGAAGTCGAGGCTGTACCACCCAATGCTGAACAATGAGATGGGAGGGTCTGGCATCCACCGAGGTTAAGACGTGTTGCTTTGTGCATATGGTCAGGTGGGGAATGATGTAATGCTTCCGTTACCTTGGCTTTGACATCCTATTCTGCTGACTCACAAAATGGAGGCGATGCTTGGGCACTTCCTCATTCACTTACACCCTGCTTGTATGAGATGCTGTGGGCTTGATTTTGGGTATGCTGGCTTTTGAAAATAAAACTTAATTTATGATTATAACTTTTTTTTTTTTTTTTTATAATATCATGGGCTATTCACCGAAGTGGTGCACTTGTTCATTTCATAAGGTAGAAGCTATTAGAACGGGCATATATACAATTGGGACTTCTAACCCCTGACCTCCCAGTAGATGTGTGTGTGCTTTAATCCACTTTTGAATGCAGTGATTTACCGTGCAGCCAGAATGATTTTAACTTGTGCTTACTGGTTGATGTGAATCAATTAACCCTATAATAAAGTGGTTGTCTTTAAATATTTGCTATTTTTCTTTCTGGAACCCAGACTTAACAAACCTGAATTCAGACTAAATAAATATTGTCCACATTTTGGATTATATAGATGGTGTTGCTGGTCTAGTATTGTGCATAACTGGGTTTCTGGGACCAAAAACAGACCCTGAGGTATCGCTCTAGGCAGTTTTATGGTCTGCTCAACTTCCTTACATTTAAAGGAATGTTGAACTGTTGTGTTCTAAATGCTATAGGCCTACGTCAAATTTTAGATTTGCTAATGGGCTCCAGTCAGATTCTAAAGCAGTGATATTACCACTGCTGTACCCAACCAACATATACTGCCTCTCAATGAAGTGGTCTGGGTGCATTGCCTCTAGTCATTTCAGTACTGCAATGTAAACATTGCCATTTAGTATATTACAACAGCTTTTCCACCGCAGGGCAAAATACACACCTAGTAGCAGCCTGACAGCCATTAGAGGGGCATGATCTGAGAACAGTCTGCCGTGGTTCTTGCAGGTCACCTCCTCCTGAATGTTTCTCATAGAGAGCATTTGTTTGAAAGAGTGCAGTGCTCCCCATGCATGGATTTGATGCGAAGCCAGTGATGTCTGCCAGATGATGTCACAGGAAGAGCTGGGTGCAGCTGCACAAAAGCTAAATGTAAAGGGGGGAGGGGGGGGGAGTAGTTATTAAACACTGAATTGTAGTAAATATTGGCACTTCGTTAAAATTGAATTTAGTGAATAACCCAAGGCAGAACAATATTTTGCTCTTGGTTATACAGGGCACAAACGTTCCTTGGCACTAGATAAGGTCCTAGTTTAGCTGTAAATCTTATATAGATGTAACCCATGGGAACAAATGACTGAGACGCTGCTCAAATTTACTTTCTATATAGATTCTTGAGGACTTAAAAAGCTTTTGC